ATCTGAATTCTGGTGAGAACCCTTTCATTATTGTGATTGTATTCAGACCGTGTGCTATTTTTGACATCCGTGTAGTTTTTTCCCCTGAATATTTGTTGCAGCTGTTTRCACTTCTGTTTTGTTTTGCATATTGCAGTTTGAAGGAAAATGTTTCAAGGTATCAAACTCTTAGATCAAATACACATTTTCTAAAATGGTTTAAAAAAGGCAAATTTATTTCAAAGATGAAAATTATAATTTGTTTAATGCTGTAGTTGTTACACAGATAAGAAATTGTTCCTTTCCTGGAGGTGTCCCTAAAAATTCTCCTACTAATATTTTCTTAGCAGCCATGAACCCTCTCTTGGTATGTTTTACTGATGAAAGGCAGAAATTGRTAAATACTCAAGTCCTCATTTCAAKTCTACTAAATGCTGATTAGAAAGAATCATGACAAATGGAGGATTAGTTCTTATGCCAGACTGGGGATTATTAGTCTTTAAAAATACCTTAGAAAGGTTTACTCCTTAATAAATTTGTATATACTAAAGTACCTTAGTCAATATGATACTGATTGCAGTATTTCTGTAAGATGCACGTATCTTTCAATTCAGAACTGTGGCTTTGCAGAATTAACCARTAACCATTCCAGTGTTTTGCTTTAAACTGTGGATAACTGATGGAAGAAATCCATGTCATGATGTCTGCTTGGTCAAATGTTGCATATATTGTTACAGCACTGAAGGTTTTGCCTTTTCCTTTTAACTCAAGCTGGAAGGAGGAGGAAGATTGAGTTCATTTTTTTATGAGGCTTGTTCTAGAAAGTTTTACTGTTGTGATGTGAAGAACTGAAATGTACCCCTTGAATGTTACTTTTAAAATCCTTATCAGTGTTATTGTTGTGRCTATTTTAGCAGGCTTCTTAGACTTCAAAATAATCTCAAGTCCCTGTCGTTAAAAATAAATTTCTCARGACTATTGTTGGTGGACTTGAAATTAAGAATTGAACAGATTTGTACTCTGCATTTTGTGGCTTTTTAGTATCTTGCAATAGATTCCCTAAAAGTTAGTTTGTATTTTGCTATGTGAGGTTTTTGGTAAAAAAGACCTTTAACATAATAAAACATGAAATACCTGGTTTTCTTTATCAGCTGATTATAAGATAAGTAATAAATTTGAAATACGATATTAATGCTAGGTAAAGCTTCTGTAAAATTGGTGTGGGTCTGGCTTTACTTAACAAATAGCTATTTTTGTATGCTAGAGTGGTTATTAGTGTTGGCCGTGGTTCTGTGCAGTAAGGCATTTTGTTTAATTTGTATGGAAATAAAGAAAATTTGATGCTGTGCGTCTAAGTTTTTGTTAGTTTTGCTGCTGTCCTCAGGCTACTCAGGAAGCTGTGGGAGCCCCAACTCACAGGGCAGCACTGAGGCTGAGTCATACAGTGAGCTCAGGGACAACATAAATGAGAACAAGAATTAGGAGTTTACAGCACACAAACTGGCTCATGTTTTGGTTGTAATGTAGGCCCTTTTGTATATATTTTGCTTAAAGTACTGACTGCTGTAATTACTGAGTTTTATTTGTATCTTAAAAAATCCTGATAGAATTTGTGATTCAAAAAAACTAGGAAGTCAGATAGGAGAGTAGTCTGTGAATACCAATAAAAGCAATAGTAATTTGTTTCCATGTCTTTATTTTTTCAACTGTCATATCACTCCTGTGAAACAGATCTGAATACTTCACATCTACTKAACACCTCTGTACATATCTCTTGGCTTTTTGATTTTATTCATGTGATGGAAAAATGTTAGAAATTGCTTAAAAAAACGCTCTACACTCTCACTGAATTCTTTCCAGTGGTTTTAAGAAGRCTTTCAGAAATTCTGTACTGCTAGACAGTGTTTTGTTCATCCTCAGGATGTCAGCATTGTTTTGAGTGGCTGAGCCTCTCTTTTGTAAATTCAGAGTTCTCTGTAAATAAACTTATCTCCCAGAGTTTTTGAGGCTGAAAAGAGTGCGTATTTCAAGCCCAAATGCTGCTTTATTTCTGGTGATGAGGAAGGTGGATAAAAAAAAAGAAGTTTAAATACTATTTTTCCTATGTAAAAGTGTAAYTTTGGAGAAGTTTCATGGAATTTGCTGCAGCAGGGATATTCTGTCAAATGTGTATGTAATTAATTTAATTCCTAAGAGCTACCACCGGAACACATTAATTATGTCTAATACTTTTGTCCRTGTTATTTGATTGCATTAAGTTACRTGCTTSCTGTAGGTAAACATCAGCTTAGATTTGTGACTAGAAATAGCTGTAGCTTTTCATAAATTAATGTCTTGAGGCTTCTGTGATTTATGTTGCTTGAGAGTGCTGTGGTTAAGAAATAAAGCAGCCATGGAGAAAAATCTGTTTCCAGAYTCTTTTGGAGGGCTGATTTGGATGCAATTGAAGGAGTTGCATTAGAAACAAGGAGGAGAGTGACTTAACGTAGACTGTTCCTGTTTGCCATTGCAAATTAAGTTGTCATATGTATTGATTGATTTTCTGTATTTAATATAAAATTTCAGTTCTCAAGGGTTTACTTTTGATCAGGCTCTTGATTTCTTTAAATTTTGAAAATAACTGAGTTGTTAATCCACGAGCTACATTTAGAGCAAGCTACATATATAAGGTCAATACCTGCAAAAAGTCTTCTATTCGTAGGCTGTAATTGCTTGATGCATTCCTTTGGCTGTGCACGCTGTTCTCCCCACTTTCCCTTTTCTCATKTTTCAGGCTCAGTGGGCAGGTCACTGGGCTGTGTATAATGCCAGCTTTGGCTAGTGGGTTAACACTGCCCTGGTGTTCCCACCATAGCAAGGGGGTGACCTGCTTTACAAATGCTTTGAGAGCTCCATAAAATGTGACAGAGAACAATGGTTTGGTTGGGTTTTTTTCAGTTGGTATTTTGTGGGTTTGTTTATAATAGCAGCATGATAAGCATGTGGGATTAATCTTTTTGCATTTAAAGAAAGTAAGTTTAATTATGCTGTTATCTTTTATTTTTTAAAAAGCAAAATATAAATAGAGAGGGCGTTATGGTTACAGTGATAAATGTGTCAGCAGTTAAAATTTCTAGTTACATCTTTTAGCCAAATGTCTCCCAGTAAAAGTAGAATGATGTATGTAACTTCACAGGTTGCAGTTTGACAAAGAAGCAGTGGAAACCACACTGCCTGTGTTCTAAWTTGGCCCCTGATGAGTCTTCTCTGCCTGTGTCTTAATTAGAAGACTGAAATATTTTTTTCCTCACTTCAGTTGTTTTCACTGAATTTTCATTGAATACATGTTCGTGAGGAAGATAAAGGGGATGAACTAAAAGGAAAGAATTAATGTAGTGTCAGAAGCATTTCAAGCTCTGTGATTTTGGTGCTTGAACTCATTTACGACTCTCTTCTTTTGGAAGCAATTGTTTTGTTTAAATGATGATCAAAGGATAAAAAATTATTATGGAGAGTAGCTATGTTTAAAATGCTATAAATGTACAAGAACTCTTGCAGGGTGTATGTGGCTGTGAGCTTAGGGTACATCATAAAGAAATTTATTTCAGAGCTATCTGAAATTCACAGATTAAAATTGTTTAAGATTTTGTTGAAGCGTTGTCTGTTCCCATGCTGTCAAGGCTCCTGAAAGGTGATACCCAACTGTATAAACTCTTTCTATGATATGAAATAGGATGAGAACTATGAAGGGAATAAGGAGGGGGACTTAATTTCCAGAAAAGTGTGCTTTATATTTTTTGTCATTAATATTACCTCATGGAGAAATGATATACAAGAGAGTTTGTATACATGTAGACACCACGCACACCAGACCGTCTGTTGTCTGATGTCTGGCCACTGTGGTTGTGGTCACCCAAGAGCACAGGGATTAAAGGTGAGGAAGGAGGCTGATGGCATTCCTTCTTTGAGTTGTGTTATGCTGGAATTGTATTTTCCTTTCATTCTTTTCTCTTTCATTCCTTTMATCAGATTTATGATCTGATGATCTTCAGGCTGGCTGAGGTGTGCTGTTTGCTCCCAGCTGGGAAGATTCYTTTGTTTTGAATTGCACCTCAAGTGTATGTTGATATTCAGTTGGTCTGAGCACTGGTTTGATCTCTATATGGACTGTTCTTTAAGAGTTGGACTCAATAAGATCCTTGTGAGTCCCTTCCAGCTTAGAATGATCTGTRGAATTCACAAAACTTACAGGCCTGAAAACGGTAACCAGCATCATTCAGAAGGTAAAATATTGGATTGAATTACAGAATAAGCAACTATTAAAATCCTATGTATCTGTTCTCCTTCTGGTCTCTAACAATTTCTATGGATTTCAAAATTTAAGTACATTATGATTCTTATAACTCCTTTTTGTATTGTTTAAGTTGAAATACATTTTCTACCTACATATCAAAGTACTGCTCAGTTTTTACSATTGAAATGGGTATCTTCTATTCCGTTTACATTGCAGAGCCTACTTTGTGGTCCAATAATGATGAGAGACTTATTTAGGAAATTGGTGTGTATTTAGCATTAGTTAAAGATGTCATTCAGCATTCCAACAAGGATATTTTTATATGTCTGAAAGCCATACTTACACAGAGACAACAAAAATGCATCTGTGGGATTCTCTAGGACTCAGTCTCCATTTCTCCTCTAYAGTTATGGATCTTGTGAATGACAAGATGGGGGTCGTTGGAATGGCTGAAGATTAGCATCCCCTGCTGTTTTGTAATTATCAGAATCTGGACAGTCATTTATTTGAATGAAATAATGCATACAGTTTGTGCCTCCAAAGAAAAGCATACATAATGCGATTGTAAGAAGAGGTTTTCAATCTCTCAGTGGGATGTCATAGGGTATGTTTATAAACTTCAACCTGGCAGTGTCTCTGCAGTGGAATTCCACTGGTATTGAGATAATAATTTGCACAGTCAAATTGCTTTCTTTACAAAAACCCAGGGAATTATGAGGCCTAATCCTTTATTAATGTCAACCCATAGGCAGCAAGAAAGCGTAAGATTGCCATTCGAAAAGCCCAGGGGAAAAATCTCGAGGCCATCCGAGAGCTGAATGAATATCTGGAACAGTGAGTGTCTTACAAGAATACGGATTGTGTTTTGCTATTCTGATAAATCTTTTTAATTAAAATGGAATTTGCATTTAATTTACGCTTTTGCTTTAGTACTAGTCATTTGCAGAATCCCTTGTACGTTCTTTCTTTTTTTCCTTTTTTCCTCTCGTCTTCTCTATACAGGTTTGTTGGTGACCAAGAAGCTTGGCATGAACTTGCAGAACTTTACATCAATGAACATGAGTAAGTTATTTGCTGAGTCCRCATAAAAACTGTTAATTTGAAACCCACTCTGTGCAAATCAAAAACCTCAGTGATTTTTTTTAGGGACTAGTGTTGCAAAGTATGCTGTCTCATTTCCAATATACCAGGCCTCAACTGGAAATAATTACTGAGGCTATTTGGCTACCAAATACTTTAAGAAGGCATTTGATTTTAAAAGAGAAAGAGTTTACTTAGTTATGTGTATGTTTCAGTACTTTTTTAAAATCTGAAGTTTAAAAGAAGCGGTTTGAATACAGCAGGGAACAGCACTTATTTCCCACCATTTTTCATTCAAGTGATGTATTTTACTTGTTAGAGGTGTTAAATTCTTTACTTCTAAAATCAGTTGATCACAGCAACCAATATTCCAATTTTCTTSTAGCCTACCTCTCCCAGAACATTTAGTAACCTTTTTTAAAAACCCCACAAAGCAAAACATGGATCCAGAGTTAGAGGCATCTGGTCGCCTGGGTGCAAAACCCAATGCGATCAAGAATGTTGAATGTTGTAGTAACTTGCTTATTGGATATTTAATGTTTTTGTTAGCTTTTTTTATTGCTGTAGTGACAGGAGGAAATCCCAGTGTGAGAGGATTAGCTCAAAGCCTTAGTGCAAGTTTTCTAATATCACAGCATTAATTCAAACCTCCACCCAAAGGCGTATCTTTTTTTTCCCCCTCTTTCTTTAGTTCTTCAGCCCAGCCTGAATTATATCACATTGTTTCCTTTCCTTTTCAGAGGGTACTAAAAGAATCAAATTGTCAAGGAAGAAATAGCCATTCTCACTGTGATGAAAAAATTGTTCCCCAGTCACCTSTCCTTGCGCCCCATTCTCAAAAGAAAATAGTTATTAAACTTCTTTAAATAATGACTTSGAGAATAATATAGATACCCAGATTTCCATTTGATACCCAGCTTTCCATTTGTTTGGGGAAATCTACCAGCCACTTTTCCAAGAAAATAGATACTAAAAAAAATTAGCTAAAAAGATATTTGAGCTTGTCAGATCTGTCAGTATGAAAATGAAGGATAGAGTGGTGCAAACATACGTATTCCATTATTGGTTTGGGGTTTTTTTTGCTATAATCTTTATTATGAAAGTGTGCAATAAAACTGGAGAAAGAAATTGCCTTTGCTTCTATTTGTCTCGGTCTGTAATTCCAATAAAAAGCAATATGKAGAACTTCAGTTTATGGAGAGAATTCATTGTGCTCACTGTACTTCTTGAACATCATTACTATCACTGTACTTCTATGAGCATCATTATTATTATTATTCTTTTGATAATAAGGAAGAAATTGGGCTCTTGGCTAAAAGCAGCTAAAAGTTAAGTTTTATAAAAGAACACAGTTCATCAGATTATTTGTTTTATCAGGTTTACAAGTCACAGGGCTGGTGAAATCGCCATGCTCTTACTGTTGTTCATAAACACACGTAGTTGTACAAGGTTTACAGAGTTCTGCCCTGTTCTGCAGTGATGACTCTGGCTTCTGCTTTTGGACAATGAGGTAGCTGCCCTTTTATCTCCAAATTAATAATTGATATAGATACACGACTATAATAACATGCATGAGGAGAAAACCACAATATGTTTATTTTTGGGTACAAGATTTTGCAGATTATATGGTTTAATATGGTCTCATAATTGCTAAATTGCTTTTGCTGAGATTGAATATCTATCCATACTGCCATTATAAACCTTGTGTCTCTGAATTTTGGAATCCTATCACATAAACTGTGCAATAGAGCTATCATGTATCTCTAGATGATGCAACTTCTGCAGAAAATTCTATCATTTGAAAGATTATGAAGCTGAGATTCTTCTAATAAACCTGCATCTTGAGCTTGACTTCTTAATTCTTTCTGAAAGGTTTCACTTAAAAAAAACTCAAGGGCTCGCCTTTCCAAATGATAAAGATTTGCCCATTTGGACAGTTCTGATGCTATTTTCATACATAGATTTTGAACTGTTTGAATTTTAGAGCTGTTCTTAGTACGGCTTTTTTATCTCAGTTCTGTGGTTGACTGTTGGCAGGTAAAGTTAATTGACAGTGTAAATGCTGTGGTCTGGAGCTGAGTTTATGAATCTTCAGGTAGCTGAATTTTCTTTGGAAAAAAATGGATTATTTTGTAGTCTCAGTTCAGTGTTTTGTAATACTTAATACCTGTTTCTACTCATCACTCTTGCTGATAGGAAATGACACTTCCTAGTTAAATACTTTTCATGAACTRTTCTATATATACCTAGACCGTTAGATTTTGTGTATTTTTTCCCTGWCCATAATATAAAAATAGTAATTTCATTCGAAACATCATTTTAAAAGGAAAMTTCTTTAGTATTTGTGAATTATATGATTTTATGGGGGGAAAAGTAAAACTTGTATTGTGCTGTAAAAAAACTGATGCAAAGGACTATACACTATTGTTTCATTTTGTCACTGTTTTTTGTATTCCTCAGCTATGCAAAGGCAGCCTTCTGCTTAGAAGAGCTTATGATGACTAATCCACACAACCACTTATATTGTCAGCAATATGCTGAAGTAAGTATTTCAGAAAAGTCAATTATGTTTGATTACATTTTCTGTTTTTATGTTACAGAAGTGGTGAAAATGGTTTCTTTAATTTTTTCCCTAGGAGATTTAAAAGAGTATACAGAGTATATTAGCATCTCACAGAACTGAATATGTTCTGAAAACCCTTTTCTTACTCAGTGTGACTAAGCTAAATAGAAGAGTTAGGGCAGGAATTATTGAAGATTAAAACTTATTTTAAATTAACTCTTCTTGTTGAAGTGTTTATGCACTTTCCAAATTAAGTGCATGAGAAGTTAAACTTTTCTATAACAATGCTGCCTAGGAGGTTATGATATATTGCCTGTTACTATGGACTCAGATCTTGGAATCCACATACCAAATTCTGCCTGAAGGAGCACTGGCAAAAGAGAGGTAAAAATTAGAGGTAAATTTAGAAGTTTTAGCTCAAGGTTTTAGCCATCTGAATTCTTCTTTTTCTTTTTTTTTTCAGATTATATTATTTGTTCCTAAACTGTACTGTTAACTGCTTAGAATGGGTTAAAATTGTTTAGTTAATGTGGATAAAATTGCGTTGAGATTAAATCTTGAAAGCCTAAGTAGCTTTCTCATAGAAAGACTTCGAAGCACATAATCTAGTATTTATCCCTCTTTTTCTTGATGTAATATCTGGAAAAAATATATAGAAAAACAATGGAGTAATCCTCTAAACTTTGTGTGCTATTTTGCAGTTGAATACGTAATGAAAGTCATTGTGYTGTTTTGTGTACTTGGTTTCATGCATGCTGAGGGAACATAGTGTCATGAATTTCTAGTGAGAATTTAAAGTTTGTGCTACTTTTCATAGGAGGTTATCCCAAGGTTTTAAGTATTTATAGGTGAAAAAAACCCACTTTTTACTGTTGTAGCGATACATTAATTAAATTGGTGGTAGGGCTTTTTCTTCCATATTTAAATATTTCAAAACATATAATTGGGAAGAACTTGGATTTCTCCCAGGCCGGTATTTGGCTTCTAATAGGACTTGCCTGATTTGAAATACCATGTGAAACAAACTTGGAGTGAATTTTTGTAATATCATTGCTTCAGAGTGAATGCCTGAGGTATGAATGACATGCAAGTTTCAGGGGCTTATCGTTTTTACAGGTTAAATACACTCAGGGGGGGCTTGAAAACCTTGAGCTATCAAGAAAGTATTTTGCACAAGCATTGAAGCTTAACAACAGAAATATGAGAGCTCTATTTGGACTTTACATGGTAAGCATGATTATATATTTTCCATTTTATAATTTTGAATATTTTAATGCATGTATATTGTCCTTTCCCATTTGCTGTTTTGTTTTTTTCCTCCTGTTGTTTTAGCTTAATAGGTCAGATTATTAACAGTTATTTAAAATATGGATTTTATATATATTTGGAGGATGGACAATTTTGTGCTAGTCAGTACTCCTTACTTGAAGTGCTCTTAACCWTTACGTCTTCCCCTATTTTCAAAAGAATTGTAATTATTGGCACATTAAGGTAAGTTCTTGAAAAAGGATTTAAAGATGTGCTCATCTCTAGAGGATGATAAACTGCTGAAGAATAGCAGCACAGGAGCAGTGATTCCTTGYATAGTGGATTTATTTATATAAGTAAAAAACTCTCTTTGGTTCTTAAGTAATATATTTTATTCTTTCAGGTGAAGGTGGGCATAGTTTATGTAGAGCCCTTCCTGCTTTCAAAATGTCTTTTTCTAATATTCAAGGGAAATTAATATTTTTAATGGCAGTTTGGACATACAAGTGATGTATTTCATGTTGTCTCTGGTTAACAAACCGGATGTGGAAAACTAATTCATAATTCTCACTTTAGGAAAAACAAATTGAATTAGCTGATCATATCCAGGTTTAGTTCTTTACTCAATACACAATTGAACTGAAGTCTACTGTAGCTTTAAGTAGAACRAACAATTGTTTAAAAAGTCTCACTAATGCTTATCTGGATGCTGTTTGCCAGTAACTTTAAATTATTTTTTCTTTATCATTTTCACTGTGCATGGGGCTTGGACTGCAAAGATGCTGAATGTTCTCAGCTTATTTCATGCACATAAATTTTATRGTTACACTGGTTTTTGTTTTTATTTTATTGTATTCCTAGTCTGCCAGCCATATTGCTTCCAATCCAAAAGCAAGTGCAAAAATGAAAAAAGATAATATGAAATATGCCAGCTGGGCAGCAAACCAAATAAACAGAGCATACCAGGTTAGTACTTCATTTCTTTATGATAYTCTTGATATGCTTTTCTGCACCTTTATCAGCTGCTATTCAAGAGGTTAAATGTGACATGTAAAGCAGCATAATCTGCTTGGATTTTTTGTGTTCTGCTTCTGTTTGATTTTCTGGAAGTCTTAATTAATATAAGGTTAATATTTTGCATGTATTAATTAGTATTATTTATTTAATAGTTTTAAACAGTTTTTTTTCCTAATAACATTAACTGCATAATTACATAATTATGTAATTATGTTACRTTAGTGTAATACTGACCTGCAAGACTTGGTTCAACAGCTATTTTAGTAAAACTCGGTATGTTTTAATTCTTAGAGTGACTTTATTATCCACTTCTATTTTATTAGAAAACAAATGAAAATTCTAGAATTTTTATTTTTCTTGAGTTTACACTGACCTTCCAAAGTCATATTTAAATGCCTTAGTATTTGTGACTGAAGTTGGTTTTACGTAGTTTTGTAGAAAAAATGCTCATTGAGTTGTGAAAATGTAGACTTTGTAGGCCACAGTCAAAGCTTGCTGAAGTCAGTAGGAGTCTTCAACTTTTTGAAAAATTATGTGYAAACTTYTATATTTTCTATAGTATTATAAGCYTCTGTTTCTTTCTSTAACTRTGRATGAAAGCATGTTTTAKCTCCTRGGCTCTGCTGTCTGTGCATCCCAAATATAGTATGCTTATTTGGTTCCCTTACACCTATTCTTAATGATCTGCAGTCAAAGTTATATATAAGTAATCCTGAACATCGACTTCATAGTGTCCAGTTCTCCCCACAACTTCTTTTTTTGAGCAAAAGTATTGATATTAAATGCAAAGACTTTGTAACACTTCTTTCCTTCTGCAATATTTCAGTATAGGAATGCAGTATTTAACTTTTTTCTTGTTGCTACTGTTTCACAGTTAATACTACCAAATGGCCTTTTTACAAGCACCATCTATTACGGAATTAAATTAGATTTTCCTTTTACAGCCAATGCAATTTTCTTAATACATACTGCATGCCAGTTCCTGGCCAAGAGTGCAGCTTCTTGTGRCTGACGTGTTTTTGATATATTCCAACTCAGAGATATTTTCCTTTTCTCCTGATGGGCCATGTAGCTTCTGTAGCACGGTGAAGAATATTGTATCCCTGGGGACATAATGAAGCATTTTATACTTATTATTTCTCTTCTTCTCTTTAAGTGTCTCTGATTTTCATTAATAAACCATTTTCCTATTCATGATGGTAAAGTGTGTATGAATTAACTACTTKGTCTGAAGTTTCATAAATAACCAGGGCTTCTTTTGACTTGAGGTTGCCTGACATTCCTCTAAATACTGATGGAAAACTCAAGTATTGCAGAATTAAAAACAAAAACAAATAAACACACAAAACCCCAAAAAAGCCAAAAACMAAAAAAAAARTCCTAAAAAACCCCAACACAAACAAGCCCTACCAAAACAACCAAACACTCACAAAAAAACCTCTAAGAATGGAATACACTGTGGATTAATCATTGACAAAAAAAAATGTTTTAAAAGATGTGCAAATTTTTAGTGTTCCATATTTCATATATTAGTGAAATGAACTGCTTAGATTGGAGTGGATTTGCACATGTTTTAAGTAAATATTTTGACTGCAGTTCCAAGTACCAGTAAAGACTTGGTAGCACTTCTGGGAAACGGCCCATTTCACAGCATCAGGGTGGAAATTTAAAACCAGTGTTGGCTGTGGAATTGCCTAGAAGACCTGGAAATAGGCATGTCCTGGTTCTAAATATAATGGATGTTTAATTATGAAAGTTTCTAGTTACTTGATTCACATCCAGATAAGTATACCTGGGKTTTTTTTTCCTTTTTTTTCTTTCCACATGGGGCTCTGTTAGCATCATAATGTCTCTAATAAAACAAAAATTTTATTGGAAGTGGTATGTTGCTAGGTGCATTTTGGGGTGTGTGGGGTATTGAAGTTTTTAAGGGCTTYGTTTTGGTGKTTTTTTTTTCTTTTAGTTTGAATTTTTTTTTAATTATGGTTTCTGTGGAGTTCTTTTGGATCCTACATTAAGCATTTTTTGTTGATGCTTGCCAGAACAGGCCATGTTAACACAACTAACATCTGTATAAAACCACGTGTCATAACTTCTTTGTGACTTCATACTTTTGTGATACATTGCATGCTTTAGCAGCTCTTGTTAGGTGTTTGGGATATAAAATGAAGAACATTGTGTGTGATTAGAATCTTAGGGGAAATTCAGCTCTTGAGAAAATAAAAGTTCTCAAGCTCAAGCCAGRATCTGGCAAGTAAATGGGGTAAAAAGGGGTCAGTAGGGCAATTCCGCCTTCCTCTTCCTAGAAGAACCACAAGAAGTTCTAGTGAGTACAGCTGGGCAGGATGGCCCCAACCCAACCCCCCTGACCTTGTTACACGGCTGCAAAAGTGTTTGACTACTCCAGTTTCTGTCAGAGACTCAGAACATCCAGCAGCTACAGACAGTGGTGTTGGGTGATGCAGTAAGTTGCAGTTYCCCCTACAAGTCAGGGTTGATTTGTTCCTTCCTCGGTGAGGTGAGCAGTTGGAAATTGTCATCATGTGGACCTGAGGATGAAACYGTGGTCACCTGTGGCAGAGGAAGCCCTTACAGTGCTCCTGCCTTAGTGAAGGGTCTGTCTAGACAGTTTTTAAGCTGGATATTTATATGATCTCCATAAATCCTCCCCACTTTCCATGCATTATCCACCTGTAAAGTGTGGTAAGAGCTTTAAAAGCTTGTTGGGTTTGACATTGATTAGTTTTATTGGTTGGACCTTTTCATACTGCTGAATGAAATTTTTCTGGTGGTCATGTTCAAGAGAGCAAGATGCATTTGGAATCCTTTTTGGATGTCTAGATAAATGTTATGAATTTGTGACTTTAAATTCCAAGTTAATAATGCAAAAAGTTACTTTGGAGCAATTGTCTTGCAGTGAGATCTTTCCTCATTTCCAGTTTGGAYTTGAACTTGAATTACCAGCAGTTTCCTCAATAGTTTTGGAAAACTGCCTTAATTTTTTTCAAATGACTGGCTATAGTTGCTTTTAAAATTGTTTAATTATTTTTTATTTCTTTTATGTGCAATTTACTTGAAATATTTTTGCTGGTTCACTTTGAATTTATTCTGTCGTTCCGGCAGTGCGTTTGGGCACTTGTTTTTTGCCTTTCCTATGCATCCTTTATGAAATCAGAGAAACTTCTTGGTTTATTGTCATTTAAAGAAAGCAGTGTGTGAGAATAGAAAGAAAACCTTATTTCAACAGTGTTGGTTAGACTATGCAGCACTATCTTTACAGAAAAACATGGTGATAAAGAATAGTTAAAAGAATTTTCTGAAAAGCACAGATACTTGACCCTTTTCTAGTTAATACACTTATTTTGATGTTAAATATATAACCTGTGCTGATTAGTACTTCTCATCTTTGTCTAATCTAGGAGACACGTAAACTTCTTCAGGAAGAGAGAAAGGTTTTGTAGCTAGGGCTGCTGTAGGGAGCTGAAATTCCTGGCTGCTAACACATCCTTTGAAAAAAAAAAAAAAAAAAAAAAAAAGTTAATTATTCTCCAGGCTTCTTAAATTTAATTGACTGGGTGGAAAAAAAACCCAAATAAAATTTAATTTTAATATTTTATTTCAGAAGCTAGTGAAGTAGTCATTATTCAAAGAATTAGTTGTAAGTTTATTATTATTATAAGCTCAGTTTTGCCTTATGACTGGGAAACTGGTTCATTCCATCTGTGCAGACCCAGAAAAGAACTTCTGTCTGTTCTGAGGACATGAGTCACAGTTCCTTTAACACCGAAACAGAATAAGGCTACCTGGTGCTCTTCAATTAGATAATTGGTTTAGCATGTCCTCTGGTAGAAACATTTCAGCAGAAGCAGGCMAGTTTGATTAATGCTCACAAAAATCTTTAATGTGATCCTACTCATAGTAATTTTCCAGATACATGCTTCTTGGATACATTGCTAAACTATTCTGTGTTAGCAATCTACGTGTTATTTATGGCTGGAGAAAGGTGATTTTGTTACTAACCATTTGGGAAACAGAAAATTAAATCATGATTTAAGAAATGGATTCCAGCTCAATCAGTCAAATTGCTGTGTAATGGCTGAATAGACAAAATAATTGTTCGTCAGGGCAAATTTGAAGTGATTGCATTTCCAAGTGTACTTCTGGTTSTTATGACGCAGAGTTTGGTTTTATTTGTTCAGCTTAAACTACATGTCAGTATCRTGAAGGCAACTGTTCTTGAAATTAGCAAGTAGCATTTTTTTAAACTAATGTCATATGTCAATTTTGCTTCCAGTGTCCATGATGAGAATAAGTAAAAGCTTTCTTTTTTTGAAATTTTTCTCTGCATGCTTTCTGTATTTCTTTCTGTATAAAAATATTTCAGTATTTTTAGGCTTCTGTGCTTTTTATTAAAATTTCTTAATACTTAGAGTTTGAAAGAGTTTTTCCACTTGAAACTTTTGACTTCTGTTTTTTAACTTGATTCTTTTTGTGAAAGGATTTGGAATTACCAAGTGTTTGTTTAATGTGAACAAAGATAGGATATTTTATTCAGTCAGAAATAGGCAAAAGTTGCTGCTTTCACCTTGGAGTGTGTTAAGAAATCTTGGATTTTCCTCTGAAGTTGACTATTGCATGTCACTATGGAACCTGCACAACATGAAGAATGGGTTTATACATACTGCCAGAATCAAAAGMTGGCACATCAGTTAGTCACCTGGAAATATAAAACATGAAAATATGGTGTTTTCAGTACACCTCTAAGCTGTAAAGCATTGTCACAGTAACAAAATTTCTCCTAACTGTTTAATTTAAAATATCTTACTATTTACTGTGCCAAAACTATTTTTTAAAAAACTCAGTGCTGATTGGGAATCGGAACACTAGATTGTAGCCTGGGGGTCAAAGGCAGGTTAACAGGTCCTGCAGCTTGTTGCTGGTGTGATATTACCTGAGTTTGATGACTAAATCTTTCTTAACAGGTCATGAAGAGTTTGCTAAATTAAGTTAATTACAAGAGAGAAGGGACACATTATAAATCAAGGACTAACTATGCGAGACACCAGTGGTATTTGAAATAAAAAACTTCAAATTGAAAATTTACTGAGTGTTTAGATGTTAACATTTAAGTAGAGAATAGGCTGTTTTACTAGAAGCAAGTTTTAGTTACTGTTTCTGTAATTTCTTTACCACCCTCCTAACCTGAAATTAAAAACTTGTTAGTGCAGGTGTATTAAAAATGGTTAGGAGTTTTATTTGACTAAAGACMATCTGGTCAGTGAATCCCCTGTGTTAGATATGGCTGATGTGATGGGAATTGTCAGTATCATTAGAAAAACCCTTCTGAGTTCAACATGGGGTGGTCAACATTTCCTATCCTTCTGCCCCTTCCTTATTAAAGCCATTAGTAGTATTTATTAAGCTGTATCTTTCTTTCTTATGAAGACAGACTGTATTTCAAATCTTCTCTGAAATTGCTATTTTAATAGTRGTCTATAATCAAGTACAATGTCATCACTCATGACTACTTTGAACCATAAAATATATGTTGTCTTGATTATTTCATCATAAATTTTGATAAACAGAACTCTTTCTTGTCTTGCTTTAACAAAAAATAATTTTACCATGCTTCATAGAAGAAGAGTGATACAGCTTGTATTCTGGTAACAATTCTGAGTTTTAGTTTGATGCTTTGAAGTTTGTAGTAAATAGAGTTAATTATTGGTGCTTAGAACTTATTTTCACAGGATTTAGACATACGTAGAATTTTTGATATATAACAAATAACAATCCTTTCTTTCCTGTTTAGTTTGCAGGTCGCAGTAAGAAAGAAACTAAATACTCTTTGAAGGCAGTGGAAGACATGTTGGAGACCCTGCAAATCACTCAATCTTAGTTTGTCACAGAGATTGAATATGAAATTTTCCTATACCACACTGAACCTGTACTGACCTGTGGGTTATGTTACTCTAGTGCTGTTAATTTTGTATTGATTAATGTGCTATATAAAATACCATTTTATGAAAAGTAAAATGCCTATTTATTGCTGCTATAAGAAATGTGATGAATACCCACTGAAATGAATAACTTATCCACATAAAATCCTAAAGAAATGACATGCCGCATATCAATCTCCTCAGATTTTTCTATGTACAGTACCTGCTTCTAAGCCATAATTTGTAGAAATAAACTTGTTAAATGATTAAAAAAGCATACAGTGACTTACTGAACTTGCAAATGGAAATCACAAATTTATATATGTAGATCAATAAAGTATATTAAACATTTTTCTTATTTGCATATTTAAAAGTAAAAGCATGCTGCAGAGGTACACTCTTCTTTCAAGTGATTATGAGTGGATTTTATTAGAGAAGAAGGTTTGTTAAGGGTTTTCTTAATGAGATGATATCTTGTACTTTAGAAAAGGAGACAACTCATTCGCTTTGCTTCAGAGGTACTGTTGTACTGGCTTAAAGCCAAAGACATTCCACTCTGTGGCTTTGTGGGCAAATGTTTCCATGTCTCTATAATTCTCCAATCAGTATCTGCACATTCTCTTTTTTTTTTTTTCCCTCCTCCACGTCCTTTGTTGTACATGTGTTTCACAAGATGAATTTCAGCTCTATGCTGGTCTCTACTGGTTCTGTGCCCCTGATATGGGCACCCCTTTGCTGTGGTGCTTTGGCTTCTCCACAGCAAGCAGGGGTGACATGAGACAGCTTGTTCAGCTGCCTGGCACTTACTGGGGGACAGCGTTTGTCACACCATCAGCATGAAGCGTCTAGCACACTGTAAAACTGTATTCTATTTTTTAGGCACTTGTTTTAAATAAACAGATAATTAGTCTAACAGCCTAGTTCAAGCATTTTGCACTTCTGATCATTCTGGATGCTGTTCAGATGTGTACTGTGGCAATTCAGTTGCACAGCTATAATTTCATTTGCTACAGCTTCAGTAAGATTGTGTAACAGCAGCAAGATACCCTTGGCAAATTGTAATAACAACATTGCAATGTTGTTTTMGTGTCTGTTGCCACCATTCAAGATGATTAGACTTTCAGATTTTATGCTGCCTAATCTATATAGATGAGTAGGTCAAAGGCTTCATATTAAAATGTCCCTACTATGAACCTGGACTTGATGTAATAAAACACAGCTGAGTTCCTTCTTATAAACAAAGCAGCAATAAAAACTTCCTTTAAAGCTTGAAAATTCATACAACTGAGCTGTTTTTTTGTATGAGACTGGGACTTTAAAAAAGCATGTGAGGTCTCCCTCCTGTTATCCATGAAATACGTTGGAGTTCAATAGTTTGACAGAATGGTACCATGTCACGAGAGTTAATTGTATGTGAAATCATAAAATAGCTTAATTCATAGCTGTTGAAATACAAAACTGCAAATACTGCATAGCATTATATTAAATCATCCAATTCTAACTTGGGGAAATAGCGCACATCCTTTTATGATAATAATTCACAAACTGGMCTCAGAACAGTACTTGTGGCTAGATTATATATGCTTTGGGTGGAAAACCAAGAAATTACAGTAGTTGAACCTGTGCATTTCTGTTGTAGTCTTTGATAGTATGAGTGTGCCATCTAGAGTTTTAAGCCCTCATTAGTATTTTTTTTTGTGTTGTACCTACATCTCATATAACTTGGTCGCATTCTAAAATTAAAAATGATGGGAAGCAGTACTGAAAGTTAAAATTACTTARTGCATAACATTTTTCTTCCAAAGTATTAAAAACCAGCAGTGCAGCAGGCATCTGCTGCTGAAATGTGTGGTATATAAAGCTTTGTTCAGAGGCAGCTTTTAATATAAAAATGTCAGATTTGGGTATTTAGTATATCAGTTTCTCTGTAAGGAAATCTGTTCCGTTTCTTGTTTTCAGTTATTTGATGACAATTTTCATGTCATTTGGCTACTTGGCACCTTCTTTTTAGTGCTACTTAGCATCTCCTTGAAATTAGTATTTAAYGCTCTGATTTGTGCTTGCATTTTGGCAAAATTTCCACATATTAGAGCTTGCAAGTTAACCTTGCAAATATTTCTGACAAATTTGTGATTCCTTCAAGGTTAAATAAATTACTCCTATGAAAATGCATGGGCAAACTCCAACAGAACTATTGAATTGCAGCAGTGGAAATCGAGAGTATTTTCCACATTCAAATTTTAAAATGAAGTTTAAAAATCCTCTGCCTGCAGGAGAAGTAACTGCATGAAATGCCCTGCACTCTAAGCAACAAAGAGCTTGCTGAGAAGRGAAGCTGTCACAAAGTATGATCTTTGTAAAAGTAATTTTCCAGTTCTAGTAAATGATTTTGTAATGTTACGGATGCTGTGTTGCATTAAAGAATAGGTTTTCAAAGAATGGGTGACTTAATTAACAAATGAACTTCATTATGTTCTGTATTGTGCTCTGACAGTGACAAATGCTACACAAAAATATTATCAAGCATTCAGTCTCCTCTTTCCAACATAAAAGGCTATATTTTCATATTGTTTCAGTTGACAGCAAAATCTTGAGACCTTTGCAATGCCAGATTGTGTAGCGATGACTGTCTTTATTTTCTTAAACAGACTTTGGTAACAGGCTTGACAGGGAGAGCTCAGGTTTACCTGAGGAGGTAAAGGTCATGGAAGAGCCACCAAAACCTCCAGTTCTGCCTGATACAAGCTACTGGTGACTTCTAAAACTTTTTGTCCAAATGTTATACAATTCATATTATGTAGCGGCAAAAAGCACATCTTGTTTAGAATATATCCCTAAATCTCTTCAGTTCAGCGCCCAGAATATCTTGCAGTTGCTATTGGAAACTCTGTTATTAGTCAACGGAGGACTTCCTCTTGGCAGTGCTGTATTTGTAATGGCATCCATGTTTGCTAGTCACTGCATTTACAGTGGAACTTGTATTTCAGCCAGCTTTAGAAGGGAGGGGAAAAGGAAAGCAAATTAAACTTGACTTACTGGCATGAATTTGTTAGCTTCTTGTTACTTGCACTCTCATCTTCCAAGAACACCAACTGTAGCTTCAGTCAGGTTTGCAATAATAATTCTTGTAATTTAAGAGCTTCTATATATTCAACTCTAAACTTAGAACTCCATTAAAATTTAAACTGTAGAGATTCCAGTGAAACACTGCTGTGTGGTGTGCACATACCCCCATATGCAGCAAAGGACTACTCCCACCCTCCTTCAAGTTGGTGTCAGATTAGAGGAACATCAGTACAGTTTTTGACTGGTTTTGTCTAGAATGTTAGTATTGCTTAATGTTTCTCCAAATATTGCTTAGTACCTGTGCTGCTCAGTGTATGAATAGAATTTTAGGACTATTGGTCAACTACAGCAACTAGTCTACTGTACTACTCTCTACAGTAGAACASTAGATTACTTGAGTCTCCCCAGAAACTAGTTATCAGGAATAAATGGGTCATTAATCTACCTCCCTCTTAAATAAGAGACCCCCAACAACAACAAAACCCAATAGAAAAAAAAAACAAAAAAACAAACAAGCAGACCCACCCCACCAAAACAACAACAAAAAAACCCAAGCAAAAAAGCTCCCCCCAAAAAAACCAAAATGAAAAAAAGAAATCAACCCCACCAAAATCACCTGGGAAAGTTAGTTTTTTTCAGCTACTGGATATGGAATGGAAAACCTTAATCAGTGCACTTCATAGGTTAATTTATTTTGCCCTGTGATGAAGTACAAAGCAGTRCAATCCTTTCAGTGCCTGTCAGGAAGGAATGCTGGACAGGAGCACACAGCTGCTCAACCCAATCCTGTAGTAGGGTTTCCACTGGCAAGCTGCAAGGAACATCCTGTCCATTTGCTCTCAGGATCCCAGAAGTGAGCAGTCAGGGTGAAAAGTGCTAAATAAGACTGGCCTGGACAGCCAGGTGGAGTTGGTGCTCAGGTCCATGCGCTCAGAGACCCAGCACAGCACCTGAGCTCTGCTCAGCTAGGGCTGCTCATTGCCATGAGTCTCCTCGCTCATGGCTGCTGCTAAGGACTGTCCTGCCCTCTGCTTTACTTTTATCCCCTTGCCATCTCCACAGCTGGAATCTTGCAGAAGATCCAATTTTGCTTTGGGAGGTGAGGATTTTGCTTGCTGGTACAGAGGGGAGGGTACAGATGGATCAGTTTGCTGGAGTGATCCTGGCTCTGAAGGTTTTGCACATTATTGGCTTCAGTGCACCGAGTGACCAGTGCACACCTAAAGGTCAGCATGTAAGGCTTTGCCTTGSACTGAATCTGCTCAAATCCTTTGTGGGTGCTTGACAAAGAATGTCCGAGGTTGGATGTGATCCGTGCTGAGTGTCCCATAAGTGTATGTAAAKATCTTTTACGGTGACGTGGTGACTGCAGTTTGGGTCTCACAGTCACTGGGCCTTTTTGTATGTGTGTGTGAAACAGCATGGGGGAATCACTTCAGGAAAACGGTTCCAGATGGGAGGCCACTTTATCCAAGGTCAAAGGGATGGCTGGAGGGAGGATGAGACACCTTTTTTGCTTGAGTAAGGCAGCAGTATTAGTAGAAGGTGACATCCTTCATCCTTGTGTATTTTAACTGCTTTCAGTGTKGAAGTCAGGGTTCCTCGTGACATTTGTGTGGCACGTAGGCATCTACCTCTGGGCCGTGGAGAAAGACACATTTACAGTGACTGCTCACATGGGAAGTTTCTGGTGGGCTTCCATCATGGCAGGCCACCACCTGTTTGCACTGGCAATAGAAGCACTGCTTGTGTCCTAGATGGGGCTTGCTTAAATAAGATTCCTCTTAGGATCAAGGCTAATTTTCCCCAGAGAATGAAGGCTCTTTTTCCAAATTTATACAGTTTTTCTGTATCATGCTTTTAGGTTTTGGACRTAATGTTTGGAAGTGAAACTTTAAACCAGGCAGATATAATCCTCCCAGGAAGAGCCTGCAAAAATCAACACTGAAGCAGTTTCAAAAAAGTGAGCAGCAAGTAAAATTAACCATTGCCTCTGTTTATTTAGGTAATTGAGCTTGACATAGTRGTGTGTCTGACAAGTTGGTTTATGKTTTTTGTTCCATTAAATACAGATACGACACTCAAAGCTGTCATTGCCCATCTGAGAGTATTTGTTTCAGTTTAGACTTTGAAAACCGTGTAAATGTAGATAGATCATGAGGTGGACAGCAGTGTAAGAAAACTACCCAGCAGCACTGTATCTCTTTCCCTGAACAGCTGTTACTGTTTATTCTGTTTAAGTTAGAATCAAGAGTGAAAACCATAAAAAATTATTAATAGATCTATTAAAAGGCAATAGCTGCTGTGTCTGTTTAATTCTGGAATCAGTGCTGTTAT